CTTTGGATAATAAAAGCACAGCAAACTCCCTGCCTTTTCACAGAGATATTTAAGATTTAAGCAAGCTGATTAATTAAATGTTCTGATTTTTAAATAAAGTAAGGTAAAAATAATTCTATTTATACTAAAAGTTTCATGGAGAAAAAGATAAGCTTCCTAGATATATTCTCTGTTCAACTGAGAAAAAACAGGTAATAACTTTTAGAAAAGCTTTTGTAAATTCAATTTATGCTCAATAATTATAGTAAATGATTAAAATGAACATTTAATGTTCCCAAAGAAGATATTTAGTGTCTCTGAATTCTTAATAATTTAAAATATAAAATGTTAACAGTCTTTTTAGAATAGCCCATTTGATCAAGTGGGCTTTCTTTCTCTTGCATTTGGAAACAGACCTTACCATGGCAAAGTCCCGCCCAGGGCTCTGGTGAAATCTAGTCACATCCCCTATGACCTCTGGCTTCCTTCAAGCATCCCTGCAGAAACAGCTACTCAGCAAACAGTATTTTAGCAATTTTTACCTACCCTACTTCTGCTACCCTCATTTTCCCCTCCCGAACTTAAATTTGTTATCAACTAACCAATTCTCCAAACTGTCAAAACTGTTTTGAACTACAATCCGGAATTCTGCAGCTGGTTCATCTCCAAGATCGCTGGTGAAAAGTCTATGAAGTAAAGACTGCCTGATCACCCATTTATAAGAGTAACGGAGGTTTAAATTCAACACCTTTCAGGAGAATATTTTACTAGTACATATCAAACACCTTCAAAATATTTCTCCCTCTTTGGTCAAGCAATACAAGTTCTAAGATTTTACCGTAAACAAATGACCAGAACTACAATAAAACTTTATGACAACAGGTGATCTTGTAGGATTATTTATAACTACAAAACAAAAAAAACAACACCCCCCAAAAAACCTGTCACCAGCTTGAACATCTAACAATATAAATTCATTAATCAAATTGTCAGAGATTATAAAACTGAATTGAAAATGTTTTGAACATACTTAAAATTATGGGAAAATATCCCCCACATGATGTTAACTACAGATTAAAATATTTAACAGTAAAGACAGTAAAATAAAAAAAAAAGTCCATTGATAGAGATTAATGTACCGATAGATTTAGAGAAAGACAGGGGGAGGGAAAGAAGAGAAAAAGGGAAACAGGAGGGAGAAAGACAGAATTATTCACCAAAATACAAACAACACACTGACTATCAGTTGAGGAAGTCTGATTTAATTTTCTTGTTCATACTTTTTCTATAGTTTCCAAGTTGTCCACAATGAACATTATAAAATATACTATAAAAAGTAGAAAAAAGTCTTACTCCTACAAAAATATTCCCTATTCTACATTTTTCAATGTACGAATTACAGGAAAAATAAAATCGGGTTTTCCGGGAAGCCTCAGAACTCTGCACCAAGCACTGCATGACTGAGATGAGCAGTTGCGGACACCGGATCCCCGCCTCCACTCTGAACCACCCTCAGGGGTGAAACACACCATCAATTCAACAACAGCTTAGGGGAGGAGGAAGACCAGAATGAAGTAACGGCACCTTAAACATGCTCAAAAATGTTTCAGTGTCAAAGTGCTTTCAGAATTGAAGAAATGGAGTCAGAATTGAGTCAATGAAATGAGAATTCTGCTTCCTTGGTTTTCTAATTTCACTTCCTGATCAGCCTTCCTCAAATTCTACTAATGAAACCAAGTCCCTGTAAAACCAAATTCCTTTACTGAGTTTAATTTTTTTTTAATTGAAGCATAGTCAGTTATAATGTGTCAATTTCTGGTGTACAGCCATGTCCCAGTCATGCATATATATAAACACATATTCATTTTCATATTCTTTTTCATTACTGAGTTTATAATTAATTTTGCTATCTAAACCTCTTGTCCCCTCTGACCTCAATCTCGAGCTAACTAAACACTAATCAACCAGAGTCAGATAACTAAGATCGCTGTTGTTGAGAACATCGTTAATGTACTAAAACTGCTATGAAAGGTATCATCACTAGCATACAAACTCAGGTTGTTTCTCCTAACAGGCCGCTAAACCACGGACCACCTGGCTGGAGAATCATAAACCAGAAACATCCTGACCCTCAAAATTATAACTAGAGAATCATAAATCAGAGACATTCTGATTCCTGAAAGTATGATTAAGAAATGTCACAAGAGGATGATTAATCCCAGCCTCTTTGTTCTTCCCCCTTAAAAATTCCCTAACTC